CTGGGAAGAGGGTTAATCATTGGCCACCGACACCCGAACTCGCTTGTCCTGCCTTAGGGAGGAAGGGAAAAGGCAGATGGCCGGCTTGGGACCTTGGCGGCACCCAACGTGGCCCCTTCAGGCCCGGCTGAGGCAAGTGCTCGGAGGTCCCATGCGCGCTCCTGTCACATCCCTGTTCTTCCTCCCTCTAGCTGCACCTCCCTCCTCAGGCCTCTCCCCCACCGTCTCCTCTCCTCAGACTTTGGCAGGTTGACTGTAGGTTCTGAGAGGACCAACTTGCTTTGTTTGGAGCTGGACTGGATGCGATCCCCTTCCCCAAGTCTCTGCCAATGGGCTAACTCCTCCCAACGGTTTTGGCAGACTTGCCCAAAGGGGACCGTGCCCAAGGCCACAATTAACCTGGCTATGGTGAATGGGGATGGGAGAGGGGTTTCTCCGGTCCTCTGACAGCTGCACTGGGCAAATGTGGGAATGGAGGGCTGCCCATGAAGATGGGAGTAGAGTGATGAACACTGGGGGATTGGGGTGGGGGAAAGAGTCCAGGATGGAGAACAGGAAGACTAAGAGAGGCACTAAGACAGTCTTAGGTTACTGGGAGGGGCTCAAAACACCACCCCCAAGGTCAGGGTCTTTTCCTCCCTCTCTGGGACAGGCTCAGAAGCTGGGCGCCAGTTCCTCAATCTGCAGAGAAACACTTGGGTTTCACAATAGCTCCCCATTGGCTCACCTAGAATATCCCTATTTTACAGGTGAGAAAACTGAGGCCAGAGAGGCACAGGGATTGAATGGGGGAGGGGTGGTAGTCCCCTCCAATGGGACGGTGGGGTGCATGTTCCTTCTGCTGTGCCTAAGTCGTTGAAGGAGGAGTTGGGGAGGCTGCGTTCAGGGCTGAGCCCCAGTCCCAGGGCTCGCTGGGTCTTTGCTCACTCCTCTCTCTAGTGCTCCTTTGGATGCTCAGCTGCCTCCAGTCTATAGCCTGGCTGGCCCCGGTTCTCCAGGCTTCACTATTGCTTTCCCCTCCCCAAAGTTCCCAGTAGGGTGGTCCACAGGCGTTGGCCACCTGGCAGGCCCGTGCCGCTAAGAGGCTGCTGTGGTGGCCAAGTGGCTTGTATTGTTTTTTTTCTCCTCCAAGGGGCTGTGAAGGGCTGGGCGGGTCGCGGGGCCCTCGTGAGAGAAGCCGGGTTCAGGGGGGTGGGGCGCGGAGGATAAAGGCACCGCACGTGCGAGCCACCGCGGCAGGAGCAACAGACTAAGCAGGCGGGACAGCCAGCAGCCTGGCCCCCCGGGCTTCAAGCAGGGAGCCCAAATATTGGGAACAAAAGCGGGGGAGGGGGCAAAGAGGAGTGAGAGCAGGAGGGAGAGGGAGGGAGCCAGAGAGAGACCGAGGAAGCAGAAATTAGGGGGTCTTAGATGGAAAAAAAAAGAAAGTAGCTTTAGGGGGAATGTGCCGTGGAGTGTGAAATTGCAGCCCATGGTGCTCCATATTGTACCAGAAGCTCTTCCAAAAAAAAAAAAAATCCACCATCCTCCAACGTGACCAGAGGGCTTGGGAGGGGGAGGGGCCGGGAGGGACTGGGAGGCGGAGGGGAAGGGCCAGGCGGGGAGCAGGCCTGGCCGGCGAGCAGGACAAGGAGCCGGGGAACACCACCACTGTCCGACAGCTGACAGCCCTAGTTTGTGCCTGGGGCGCCCAGGACCCCGGTGGTGAATGGCTCAAGGTGGCGGGTCCGGATCCGGCCTTGGATGTTCCGCACAACTTTTCTTTCTCGTGGTGGTGATTTCCGAAATGGACCAAATCAGGAAGGGAGCGGGCGCCGGAGTCGCTGCTCTCGCTCTCCTCCTTCTCCTCGACCTCTGTTTTATTATTATTTTTTTTTTGCTTTTCTTCCCTTCGGACTAGCGCTTCCCCACTTGATTCAAACAGCTTTAACCACCCCGCCCCCCCCCCAACTTTAATGCATTTAATTTGGTCCGCGCTGTGGGAAGCATTTCCTAGGGAGATACATTTAATTTCGGAATTTCTAATCCCCTCCCTCACAGCTCGGGCCTGGCTCCCCTCCCTGCGCCCCAGGAGGTGAAAGGAGGAAGGCGGGGCCACTGGGGAAGGGCACAGCTGGGGTGTTCTAGAAGCCTCTTCCCCCTCCTTCCACCCCGGCTGCCCTCCCCAAACCATTCCAGTTCAGGTGCCCTGTCAGGGGACTGAGCTCTGCCCGCAGAGGGGCGCGGTCACACCTTTGCCTCTTGTGGGCCAGGCTGGGCCAGGAAGTGGGGAGCCTGAGCAGGAGACCCCCAGAAGAGACTGGATCCAAGCCAGAGTGTCAGTCAGGGTCTCTACCACACGCCCCTTCAACATTCTGGCGCAGGGAGTAGCTTGAGTTACTTAGAGTAGCTATGGATGCGTGTACTTGAGGAGGGGGCTCAGAGACCCTCCACCCAGGCTCAGTCTAGGCAACTGGAGATCCAGGAGGCTGCAGCTCACTAACCAAGAAAGGAGGCAACGGGGTGGGGTGGAGTGCACTGGACGCTGGGGCGAGCCTCACAGGGAAGGGAGCAGAGAAGGCGGAAGGCCCGAGATCCACAAGGAAGATTTATTGGGCAGATCAGATGCACAGAGGTGGCTAATGAAGCAAATCCTGCAATGGGTATCAGAGCAACTCCCCAAAAGTTTATTTGCCTTTAAATTTCCGCAGGGAGGCGGGTGCCTTGTTTGAAGTGTAAATGCCCCTAGGTTGGGGGGTGGAAGGGCCGCTTTGAAAACACTAGAGAGAAAAGGTTCATTTAGAGGCAGTTGGGAAAAGCAACCAACCCTGACAGGTCGGAGCCTGGGTTGTGTTTGGGGTTGGGTTGTTCTCTTTCTTTCTCTTTCTCTTTCTTCTCCTTTCGTCCCCTTTTCCCCTTCTTGCTTTATTATTTTTTTTAGTCACTACTAGACTCTATAGAAGAAATTTTTAAAAGGAGAGAATGGGAAGGGGGCATCTGGGAGCAGCCAGTGCCCAGAGAGACGCCTGTAGGGCAGCCCTGAGTCCCGAGCCCAGGAGATGCAGAGCCCAGACAAGTAAGGGCTCCTGATGCTCCAGTCCAGGACTTTCTAAACCCAGCAACTGGCTGAAGCCCAGGAGGCAGCTGCCAGCAGTTAGCCTGGGGGGTGGGGGATGGAGAGGGGCATCCAGATATTGCTAGGCTGGAGAAAAAGTTCCAGAAGTGGGGTGGGGAGGTGGATTCTCCTTTCAGGGGCTCTCTGGGAGTTGGATCCTGGAAGGACCCTAAGCGAATACACGAAAGAATTCCTGTGTGACTATAACATCCAGCACACTTCTGGTCCCTCTTTACAAAGTGTGAAAAGTCCTTGTTGCCTGATCTTGGACATATCTGCAGCCCTTGCCTGCAGTAGGTCTAACACAGAGGCATGCCTATCTGATTCTAGAAAGGTCTACTGAGTCTTGATGGAGGGGGTTTCTCCCACAGCCCTGTTTCTCCTCTAGTTTAGACTCCCCAAGACTTAAAGACTTAATACTTCCTGGTCCTGTATTAGGGACCTAGAGCAAAGGACTCCTTTCCTTCTCAGCTCCGCAGAGCCTCTCTCCTCTCCAGTTCTGCTCTTAAGGCCCCCCGGAAGAAGCTGGAGATTGTTTTACCACCACCTGTGAGCTTCTTGCTCCCCAAACCTCAGGAAACCGTTCCCTTTAGGTGCGCAATTCTGCTTTCCTTTTCCGCTTCCCACATCAAGTTAGTGCGTGTTCGTGGGGTTGTGAGGCCAAAGCAAACCCGAGAGCGCCATCTGCAGGTCTCCCGAGGAAGGAACTGACCTTCGGGGCTGGACGCTAAGCCTTCAACCTCCAGCGCAGGGGAACCAGCTCAGGCGCCTAAAGGAAGGGGTGGGGTGGGGTGGCAGCTGGGAGGGAGAGGCGGGAGGGGTGTGTTTTCTTCCTCCCAGAAATTACTCTGCAGGTGGAGCTGAGGTTCTGGAGGATCCAGGAAGAGGGGCAAATGCTGGGATCCCAGCAAAGCCCCTGAAGAGGGGGAACTCAGAATCCCGGCCAGATTGAGCCGGGCCCCAGCACCGCGGAGGAGTAAGGGCACTCTGAAAACCCCAAGGAGGCCCCAAAGGAGCCTTTTTTCTGGCTGAACTGGGCAGTGTGGCCCCTCTCCTAGCTCCGGGTTCCAGCCAGAGGGACGGACAGTGGCGCTAGTGCCGGCCTGCCCGGGGGTCTGAGCGTAGGGGTCCCGAGGCGCGAGGAGCCCGGGCGGCAAGTGCGCAGCGCCGACTTCCCTGAGCCGCCCTTTCGCAGACCTAGGCAAGCGGGGGAGGGAGGAGGGAGAGTTAAAACATCAGCTGAAGTGCCAAGATGATTTATGAGACGAGGGAAAATATTTCATAAAGATCTCCCGGATATTCTGTACTTAACCAGTTAGGAGACAAAGGGCTTCTCCTGCCTGGTGCCGTGCGGTCGGACCCGAGCAGGCGAGACAGCGGAAGGGAGCGGCTCGGGCCGGGGAGGCTGGCTGGGCCGGCGGCTCGGGCCGGAGCGCGGCCGAAGGCGCGGGCTGCGGGGCTCCGGATGCCGAGCGGGCGACGGGCGGCGCTCGGCCGCGATCGCAGTCTCTTCTCCCCAGCCGGGCAGCGCTGGCTCCCGCATCCTCTGCCGACAGCGCCTGGCGCCTCTGCACGCTCTCCCTCCCCAAACCCCTCTCCCTGCGACCCGAGGGTCCAGGAGTCAAGTCCCCGCGCTCTCCCGGCGTCCTTTGGGTCTCACAGAGGCAGGTGCGTCCTCTCCGGAGTCTGTACCAAGCGTTCCGGGTGGCCCAGACCCCCGCTGGGCAAAGGAACGAAGAAAGCCCAACATGCAGCCTCGCGTGGGACGGGAGAGCAGATACCACGGCGGGGCACTTTGCCCCGGAATGAGAACCGGTTGGGGGGGGGGGGAAGCACAGGATGGGAAGGGACCTCTGGAGGGACAGGCGAAAGGGAAGGACCAGAAAGAGGAAGGAAGGATCAGGAAGGAACGGAAGGGAACTCAGAGCTGAGAGTTGGGGGGGGGGGGGGTGCTGTAGGACTGGAGATCTGGAGATGCCCACCGGGCTCGCGACCTCCTGGCCCAGGCCGGCACGGGCCGCCGGAGCGCGGGGTTGGGTGAGTGGGCCACTCGGAGTCCGGCTCGGGCGCGCGGCGGCTGCTCTGCGGCCCCGAGCGGTTGCCTGAATATTCATTAGCTCGGTTGCTCTTTATCCTTATCTAACGTTTATCTTATCGGCGAGTTTCGTTTCTCTGCGTAGTTTTAATCCGGGGCTCCCCTTCCCCCCTCCCCCCGCCTCGGCCCTCTCCCCTCCCTCCCTCTTCCTTCTCCCGTCGCTCCCTCCCTCCCGATCCCCCCTCCCGGCCCTCCCCTCGCCAGCACCGGAGTGACAGGCGCGGGGCCCTCCTCGCCGAAGCTCGGGGCTCCGGCGCTGGCGAATCACAGAGTGGTGGAATCTATTGCCTTTGTCTGACAAGTCATCCATCTCCCAGCGCGGGGAGGGGGAGGGGGTCTGGAGGGGGCTTTGCAGCTTTTAGAGAGACACACACCGGGCGCCGAAGCTCCAGTCTCCGGCCGAGTCTTCTCGCAGCCGCAACCCACCTGGGGCCGGCCCGCTGCCTCCTGCGCCGCTCGGCTCGCTCCCTCCCTCCCGGCCCAGGGCCGCGGCGGCGCGCGCTGCCTTTTCCGGGGGCGGGGGCCCGGCCGCGCTCTCCCCTCCCGGAGGCGCCCGCTCGGACATCCCGAGGATTGCTACTTCTCTGCCAACTTCGCCAACTCGCCGGCACTTGGAGCGACCCGGCGCCGTGGCCCAGAGCCCCCGGGCCGCCCCTGCTCCGCGCTCTCCGCGCCCGCCGCCTCTCGGATGCCCGGGTTCCCGGGGAGCTGAGCGAGCCGCCTCCGCAACCCCCAGTCCAGCCTCAGCCCCGGCCGCAGCCGCGGCGTGCGCCATGCGCCCCCAGAACCCTCCGGCCCCGCCCGCCACCCCGGGGCCGCTCTGCTGACCGCCCAGCCCCGCGCCCCGACGGTGGGAAGTTGCGTTCGCGGCGCTGGTCGAGCTCCCGCCGGCCAGGGAGGATCGCGCGGGGAGAGCCGCGCCCCCAGCCCCTGCGTGCTCCGCCGCGGCCGGGCGCCCGCTCATACCCCCCTCCCATCGTCCCTCCCTTTTCCCCTCAAGTCCTGAAGTTGAGTTTGAGAGGCGACACGGCGGCGGCGGCCGCGCTGCTCCCGCTCCTCTGCATCCCCATGGATATGCACTGCAAGGCAGATCCTTTCTCCGCGATGCACCGTGAGTACCGGCGCCCGGCTCCTGGCCCTGCTCAGGGCTCCGCGTTCCCCACCGCGTGCTCTCCCCCTCGCGGCCCTGGCCCCCTGCGTTCAGGTCCCACCGTGGAGGCTGCTGCCTCACCGCTTCCCCTCTACTTCGTTCTTCCTCCTTCCCAGCGTTCTCAAACCTCTTCTTTCTCTTTCTCCGCCGCCTGTCACCAGACTTCCTACCTGCCTCTTTACCTTCCCTGCTGACATCACCACTTTGCTCCCTTCCACCTTCTCCGGAGTTGGGGACCCACGCACATACACCTCCAGCCTCCTCCCGCTCCAGCCACCCCACTCCTGGCCACCCTCTGCCCCCGCCCCCCTCCCCCTTGCAGGACTAACTGTGGCAGGCAGTTTCCAGGAGGCTGCGTGGGTCGTGTTGTCTGTCTTCCCTCACTCCCTCCTCGCTATCCTCGTCTCTACCCTTCTCAAAGTTCCATTGGGGTTGTCCAGGAGGAGACCCCCAGCCCCATCAGCCTCCCAGGGAGAACAATCAAGCAGAAAAGTATGGGGGTGGGGTGCCCTCTTTTGACCCTGGCTCCCAGGATTTCCAGAGCCTCGAGCCCAACCGAGGCTTCTTAGGGGCTGGTTTGAAATCCTGCCGCTTCTTTTCTTTTTCCACCTCCCAGCCCTCTCTTTCCCCTTCTCTTCTGGAGTTGGGAGTCTGAGATTGGCAGGACGTGGTGGTCATCTTTATGCACCTCTCTCCAGGAGGTGATCCAAAAACAAAGGGGTTCCGAGGAGAAATCCAAGTCAGCAAGAGTGGAAGAGGCTTCCGGAGGGGTCTTCTGTGCCGCAGATCTCCCTCCTATTCTGCTGGCTACTTGCGTGCCTCTCACTCCCTGGCAAGGCTGGTCCAGTCTGCGAGCGGGTCAGGGATGGGACGGGCAAAGAGAGGGGTGAGGGAAAGAACAAAAGGAAGGCAAGTGCCAGAAAGGAGAGAGAAATAAAAAACAAGAGAAGCAAAGACAAGAAAACAGAAAGGTATTAGAGGAGGGGGGGGGGGAGAGAGAGAGAGAGAGAGAGAGAGAGGAGTGGAAGAAAATTAATGAAAATATTGGAAAAGGGAGACTTGTTTTAATGAAATTTGAATTTATTTAATGCCTGTCATGTATCTTTAGCTTGAAGACCAATTCTGAAGGGGAAAAAATACAGTTTTTTAAAAAAAGATAAATGAAAAACTTCTCTTGAGATTAATAATTAAGTATGATTTGTAACTTTTCACAGGGCAAACTTTTTAGACCTGGCTTAGATCTGTGCTTCAGACAAGAACGCCTGGCTGGTGGAGAGCTGTTTCTCTCTAAGCATGCGTTTAGCATCGCAGGGGAAAGCTTTACAAAATACTTCTGGGATAAAATCTATTTCCCTGCATCATTTCCAAGCGGGAGAATGCGGGCCAGGGGGCCTCAGGTCGCGGCGGGTCTCGGGTGCTGAGACTTAGCTCATTCCGGCGCGTCTCCGCCAGGAGTGAAACCAGGTCCCCTCTTCGTCCTCCCGGAGACGGGGCGCCGCCGCGCAGCCGGCTGCCGCAACGTTTCACCTCTTGCATTCCTCTTCTGCTGCTTTCGGGGGACACTCTCCAAGCTTCGGCAGTCCTGGGTATCATTTTGAATCCCAAAGGGAAAGCTGGCGAGCGGAAGGTGCTAGGAGCAGGGAGAGAGCTGGGACGCCAGGCCGGCCGGGGACTGAAGCGGTCCAGCTTCAGTCGCAGTGCGAGTCTGCGCCGCCGCCGGCGGCTGCAGCGGCGCATTCCAGGCCCGACTCAGCGCCCGGCCGGCCCCCAGCCTGGACCCGCGCCGGGCCCCCTTCCTGTGCCCATCCCATAGATTGGGGGCGAGGGGCCGGGCCAGGAGCCCGGGGAGGCTGAATTATTCATCTTTAATCTGCCCGCAGCTGCCGCCTTTTCAGACCGGTAACGCGAGTTCTCCCGGGGCCTAAATTATTGATGGTTGGGGGTTTGGAGGTGTGTGCGTGTGTGGTGTGTGTGTGTGTCTGTGTGTGTGTGTGTGTGTGTAGCTGGGCTAGAGGTAGGGACCCTAGCCAGAATAGGGCGCAAAATTAGAGGTAGCCTCGCCTCCTGGCCTCAGATCAGAGGCCTCACCCTACAGGTTTTCCCAATCGGCCCTTGTTCTCGGTACCCCTGGGGGGGGGGGGAGGGGGCGACGATCAAGGAGCTGGATGCAAAGGTTCCCGCTTTCTCCGAAAGTCGCCCCGCATCCGGTCAGGCTAGGGCTGCAGGTTGTCGGCCCGCTCGGGCCTGGCTCAGCCGCTGGAGCGCTGCGCCTGGAGAAGGCTTCATAAACGCCGCGTCGGCTGGATCGGCTGGATCGCTCCGGGTGCAGGATTTCTAGACCATTTTAGGCCAGGGACGAATGCGGTGCAGGGTAGCCGTAGAGATGGGGAGCCGGGCACAGGAATCGGGCAGAAACCCCGCGCCTGCTTCCTGGCCGCCAAAGCCCACGCATGCCCTTGCCCGGCGGTTTCTAGCGCAGCCGGTGCGCTGAAGAGATAGAAGACATGCCACTGGCTCGTGCTGCCTGCACAGGGTGTCCTGGAGCTCTTAGCCTGTCTGGGTGACTGTACCCAGCCACCTGGGCCAGGCGGGTGTTGGGTGAGGTGAGCTGGGCGCACCGCAGCGGGCAGGAGTACGGGAGCAGCCGGCCGCGCTAGCTGTTTGCACCGTTGCTGGTTGTTGTCCAGCCCGCTCGAGTCCAGCCGTTTTCTGCAGCCTGTTTTTTTTTTCCAGCTTTGACAGGAAGAAGGTTGGGGGGGTTGAGGGTTTATAGGGTTTCTCAAGTATCCAAAGATAGAGAAAACAAAGAACTGATTAAAAAAAAGGGCAAAACAAAAACTAGGCATAGTCATAGGGAAACTTCCGTTCTTTTTACAAATAAATACAAGGAAAGAGGGAGAGATCCGAAATGGGGGATATCACCCACTTAGCCCTTGTGTGCTGAATCAATCCTCCCTAGAGTTCCCTCTCCCAAATCCTCCTTCTCCAAGTCCTCGCACTGCACACACTGACTGCTCGCTTCTGCCTGCAGTTCGGGCAGGCTCCGGCGGCACCTGCCAGGCCCTTCCTTTCCTCTTTCCTACTTTCTCCGCTGCTGGCATAACTTCCCCTTTGCTGTTTTCCCCCTCCTTTTCTCCCTTTCCTCCCAGCCTGCTTCCCCGTTCTTTCCCTCACTCTCTGCCTCGCTTTCCACTGGTGTTGAGCCGGGTCCTCCTTCAGCGCTGTGGCCAGTCGGCTTCGAGCCGGCGTCCTCGTGTGGGGTGGGGAGTGCGGTTCCCACCCCCAGTCCCCAGCGCCTGAGCTGCACTGCCCAAAGTCCCTGGTTTCTCCCTCCCCACTTGCGTTGCCTGACCGCCCTGCCTGCTCTTCGCATGTCCCGGGCCACCGACCCTGACTAATGGCCGGTCTCTGTTGTGTGGGGGGTGTTTTGTTTTTTTCTTTTCTCTCCCCAGCAGGGCACGGGGGTGTGAATCAGCTCGGGGGGGTGTTTGTGAACGGCCGGCCCCTGCCCGACGTGGTGAGGCAGCGCATCGTGGAGCTGGCCCACCAGGGCGTGCGACCCTGCGACATCTCTAGGCAGCTGCGGGTCAGCCACGGCTGTGTCAGCAAAATCCTGGGCAGGTGAGGGCCTTGGAGCTGCCCCTGGGGGGTGGGGGCCCTGCTTCCTCCGCCTCAGCAAGTTGATGGGGGGCTTCTAGCTGGGGTCGTTGGCTCCAAACCAGGAGACAGGGGACAAGTGAGATCTCTTCACTCACTGGGGAGAACTGGTTCGAAGAGCCCCAGAGTCAGACTTCCTCCTGGGCATGGGCTGGGGCACAGCCACGTTTGGTTCACTTTGTTCCCTTCTCCAGAGAGAGTGGGGTGTCTCTTCTGGTCCACTTCACAGGGATGAATGGAACAAAACAAAGTGGGTTGGGGGAGTGATGAGAGTCAGTGTTGGGGAGTGGAAAGATGTTCTTCAGGCCCTGGAAGAGGGTTGCTGGGGCGGCTTCAGCCCTGATCAGTGCGTGGGGGTGGGCGGGGGTGCACTACCTAAGCAAGAGGGGGTCTTGCCCTTCGGAAGGAACTTATTACAGCCAGGAGAGGGGCACCCTTACCTTCCTCCCCTCATGCACCAGCCTCAAGTCCCTCTGCCCTGGCCAAACACCCCCTGGATGCCGGCTTAGCCACTTAGCCACGCTGAGCCAACCCCCCTGTGCTGCTGCCTCCATTGGGGAGAGTGGGCCCCTGCCCCTGCCCGCGCAGCAGCCGGCTGCCTGCTTCCCCGCTGACCCTGCCGGCCTTCCGGCGCAGGTACTACGAGACGGGCAGCATCAAGCCTGGAGTGATCGGAGGCTCTAAGCCCAAGGTGGCAACGCCCAAAGTGGTGGACAAGATTGCCGAATACAAGCGCCAGAACCCAACAATGTTCGCCTGGGAGATCCGAGACCGGCTCCTAGCAGAGGGCATCTGCGATAATGACACAGTGCCCAGCGTTTCCTCCATCAACAGGTAAGCAAGCTGCCTGGACCCGCGGGGTCCAGGCCAAACTCCAGCTCCTGCCCGCAGAGCTGCCTCTGGAGTCTACAGCCTCCCTCCCTGCTCTCCTCCCTCAAGTTCTTTGGGCTACTTTTGGGTTACTGCAGAGAGGGGTTCTGAGGGAAGAGAGAAAGAGAGAGAGAGAGAGAGAGAGAGAGAGAGAGAGAGAGAGAGAGAGAGAGAGAGAGGGCGTCTCCAGCTTCAAGCCGGGTATTCCCCGCCAGGCTTCTCCCGCTGGCGTCCTGGAAATGAATCCAAGTGTTTGTGGTAATTAAGACTCCAAGATTACGCGCCTTGGTATCTGGAGACAATCACAGCCTACAGCCGAAGACTTGAAAATGACCAGTGTCTATTCATCACCTCCAAACAGACTTCTCTTTCTGACGGCATGCTCCCTTCCCCAGGGGCAGCCAACTGTCCTGGATCCCCCACCCTCTCTGCCAAAAGCTACCCTCCCGGGAACCCAACCTCACTAGCGAATTTCCGGCCTGTGAGCATAAGGATCCAGGCCTGGGGAGCAAACAGCGACTGACAGTCAGCACTTGGCAGGGAGCAGAGTAGTGGGGTGTCAAGCAGGGAGGGACCCATCTCCCCAGTGAGGCTGAGCTTTCAGACGAGTGTGTCTCACCTCCTCTCTTAGAGTAGTTCCCCAGCACAGGCTGAGGTGGTTGCAGTTGACACATGCTGAACTGAGCCGGATGTAGGGGAGCACAAGCTCACTGTGCTGTGTGGGAGAACCCAAGTACCTGTCTGCTCTGCGCCTGGGCTCCCCAGCTAGTGTGCAACCTGCACATCTGTGTAGGGACGAACACTCAGGCAGCAGGGGGAGGCAGAGAAAGTGTTGAACTGAGGCTGGACTCAATCTCCACAGAGACCTGCCCACAGCCCTGGCTAAACAGCCATGGCCAGCCTTTGCCCCCTTGCTCCTATTTTAAGACAAATCCCCCCACTAACAAGGAGGGTTTCACACCCGTGTTATTTTTTTTTTTTGCCTTCTTCCTTGCCTCCTTATTAGGACAACTAATATTTCAGAGAGTGTCTTTTCTTCTGAAACTGGCATCCCCTATCAAGTTATTTAAAAAATTTTGTTTCAAATGATGTGGAATTATCCCAAATCATCCTGCGAACAGCAGGTAAAATTAGCTGGTAGAATGTACCTTGGCTAAAGAAGATTCCCTCTGCCACACTCGTGCAGTAACGTACTGCGAGGCGACCCCAGAAATTATCCCAGTGTGTGCCATCTGTATTAAAATGGTTATTCAGTTATGAAGAGGGTAACATAATACTGATCAGCTAATTATACACCCTCCGAAAACCCTCCAGCTCCCTGGGCCAGACCCAGCCTGCTAGTGAAAGCCTGTAGTTTGACATTCAGACTCTTTACCTAGGTGCGGGAGAAAGGTTCCGGGTGCTGGGGAGGAGAGTGAGTCTTTTACATTTAAAAACAAAACAAAACAAAATGAGACTGGGACAGCCTTGGGGCAAAGATAGGGGAAGTGGAGAGGGAGGGGAAGAGGGCTGGGCAGGGCTACAGGAGCCGCCGCAGGGAGCCTGGACTGCCGCGGGTCCTGGAGGGAGTGGGAACTGGTGAGCAGAGTGGTCCTGCTGAGGATAAGGGTTCTGGGACTCAGAGGATGGGTTGCGGAGTATTTAAGTGTTTAGGAGAACCGCTGCCATCACTGCGGTCTCTAAGAGCATTTGCATGCCCGGGGTGGGGGCTGGGGTGGGGGATTGGTAAGACAAGAAGTATCCGTTCAGGTGATTTGCTTTGTTTGATGGGTAGAGGACGCAGAGCAATTCAGGCAGACTTCATAGCCCTCCACGTCCCTTCCCCTGTCTAGCACCCCTGTGTTCCCTCTGCCCAACATACACCCCTCGCTGACAGAGCTGGTTTGGGAAGCTGCCTCTGGTAGAAGTTGGGGGGATTCTCTCATTCTGAAAATGAGCAGGGGAGCAGGGGGACCGTGCGGGGGGGTGGGGGGGGAGTGTCTCAGGATCAGGCTCCAGAGATCTTGAGGTGCGAAAATCAGAGTTGGAGGAAAGTAGGCAGTCAAGCCCCGGGGCCATGGTGTGGGAGGAAGTCTGCTGCACTTGGCAGCATGGACAGCTGCAGGGTCCACTCCACTCAGAGGGGCCTCCTGGGGCGCAGTGGCCATCTGTGGGCAGGTGTTGTTGGGAGGAGAGACGCGGGGAAGCCGCCAGCAGTGCCAGCAGCCAGTTTTCTGGGTCGGGAGGTCAGTTTTCTAGCCGGCTCTGCCACAAGGAGCAATTAGGGTTTTCTTGATTTTGCTTTGTGATAGAATCCCTCCTTGTTCCTTTTTTTTTTTTCCTGTTGTTTTGTTTTAGGGCCACACCAGGTGGTGCTCAGGCTCACTCTTGGCTCTATGCTCAGGGATCACTCCTGGTGGGGCTTGGAAAACCAGGACTGACCATATGTGGTGCCAGGATTGAACCGGGGTCAGTCACATACCAGGAAAATACCTTCACCCCTGACCTAGCTCTTTGGCTCCTAGTTTCTATGTTGGAATGGATTCCAGAAACTTTCCCATCTGCTGCTGAGTTAGAGAAGCACCCAGGCTCCGTTCTTGTTCATTGGTGCTTTACTCAGAAGGGAGAAGAAGGTTTCTCCTGGAGGCTGTTTCACTCTGCAGCCTGGGGTGCTATTGTTGAAGGCACTGGTGATGCCAGGAGCTGGGCAAGTAAAATTCTCAGTCGCAGTAGGCAGAGCCAGAAAGTGTATGCACTGGGGGAACAGGCTACTCATGGGTTTGGAGCTTGGTCTGTGGTGAGGTATTCCTCTGTTGATATTTTATAACTGCTGTGAGTCAGGGCGTGCACTTACAGGCAGCTGGCTAAACAGTCAGTCTATACATCTCACCCTCCGGAGCCAAATCAGGTTTTCTATCTCCTCCTCCCCAAAACAGATGCTGCTGCTGCACTTGAAATATGCCATAAACAAAATTGATTTCCATGCATTATAACTGGCTTTGGCTTTTCTCGGCTTCGGTTTGTAAGAGAGACTTAGAGATCCAACCCTTGGCAAATCCTTATAGGGAAACCACATAGAGTAAGTCAAGGAGGTCTTCCAACCCCATACCAGTTGTCAAAAACCTGGACGCTTGACTCAGCATGTTGAATGTCATTCGTTGCTTAGCACATGGAATTTACACGATTCATTCTCAATATTGGGTGATTGGTTGCTGAGTATAGAGTCATCAACTCCTTTTTGGTGGGGAGAAGAGGGTTTGGGCCACACCCTGTGATGCTTGGAGCTTATTCCTGGCAGAGAGCACTCCTAGCGGTGCTCAGGGAACCTTATGGGGCACCGGGGTTCAAACCCAGCTTGGACACGCATGGGCAAGGCAAACCATCTTACTCGCTGAACTATCGCTCCAATCCACAGAGTGATCAACTGTTTTTTTGTTTGTAGGTTGTAGCTTCTAGGTTGTAGGTTGCACCAGTTTATAAACAGGTGATTTGAGATGGCACATTGGGTTTGGGAAGTGACTTGAGAGTGGACGGGTGGGGGGAGAACTACTAAAAGAGGAAGTAATTTTATCCCTGAGCAATTGACCAGCAGGAGGATGGATTTTCCTGAGTACATGATAGTCTTTAGGTTTAGTTGCTGCTCTGGACAGTTTAGCTCCTGTAAAAAACAGGCACAGACTGCAGAGAGTTTAGGGCTTCTAATGAACCAAAGGTCCTATTTTGGGATGAGCTCTCCTTGTGCTTCTGTTTTTCTTTCTCGGGGACCAGAGCTCTCTCCGCCCCTAATCTCTGGAGTCCTTTCTCCCAGAGTCAGTTTCTCAGAAATCAGCCAACACACACACACACACACACACACGTTGCCGGCCTGTTGGGCTCCAGTGAGCACTTTCTCCTAGCAGTGGCATCTAGAAGTCTGTGCCCCCAGTTCTCTGTTAAAAAAATTCCATCCCCTGTTGTTCATAGGTCTTTGTTCTTTATCAGAGGCTTGGCATTAGAATGCTGATGACCTGCAAGTGGTCCCAATAAGCTGACAGGGTCACACTCATCCTCCCTGAGGGAATGTTGAAGACATGTTCAGGGGTGGCGGCTATATTCTCTGAACCTGAACCCAAATTCAGATTCCAGAAACATGGTCTATTGGATTGTTGGGCCGGGCTTGACTTGACTCTGAGTGGGAGGACAGCTTCATCTGCTACAGCTCCAAACTCTGTCATGGTTTGGGACCCAAGGCTTTTGACTTCATAGGAAAGATCCAAGGCAAGTTGGTGGACTAAAAATTCTGCATAGGAAATATGAGCAATGAAGATAGAGGGCTTGTCTCTGTGGTCCTTAAGCCTAGCAGTCCAGATCATAAATAGTAGACCAACCTGCCAGGTGGTTATCTAATCAACCTTGCACAGCTGTTCTTCCTCAGAGAGGGACCAGCTACTTAGGTCCTTTCTTCAAAAGGTGTGACAGAGGTATGGCCATTGATTGCCTTATTTCTTAAAAGGAGCTGCTGACACCGTCTTCCTGAAAAACCCAGTTTTCCCCCCTGATTTCAGATTGGCCTTCTTGGCCAGCAATCATACTGGTCTGACTAGCTCCCTGTTGGCTGGCCTGGAATGAGCAATGGCTGGTTGCCCTGAGGTATTACCTCAGGAAGATTGTCTTGAGGAGAGTGAGACAGGAGAGGGCTGTTGCCAGGAAAGCTCCAGGTGAATTTGGGTAACGCAGAAGAAAAGGGAGGGGAAACCTTGGATAAATAAGTAAATAGTGTCCCAACTCTTCTGAGAACTCAATAAAACAATCACATCAAATATGAAGAGGCATAAATCTTGTGTCTGCACAGGTAACCTACTCGATTGCTTTTATTATCGCTCACGCTGCCCCCATTTATTACCGTCCACAGCCTGGACAGAGGAGGTTGCAGGCAGGGTGGTCTCCAGTGCAATCCTACACCCTCAGAGGCAACAATCAGCCCATACAGCCCTGGATTTCGATGG